CGGAATGGTGGACTACCACGCGGCGAACCAGTCGTACCAGTACGGCCCCAGCAGCGGGGGCAACGGCGCAGGCGGCGGGGGCAGCATGGGCGACTACATGGCCCAGGAAGACGACTGGGACCGGGACCTGCTGTTGGACCCGGCCTGGGAGAAGCAGCAGCGCAAGGTGCGCGGCCTGCGGGCCGGACCGGCTGGAGAGGGGCTTCTCAGGGAGGCTGCGGGCCGAGAAGGGGGTTGGAGGTCCTGGAAGGGGACTGGAGGGTATGTGATGGGAATTGGGGGTCCTGAGAAGGAGTTGGCGGGTCTGGGGTGGGTTTGGAGTCCTGGAAAAGAATTGCAGAACTTGAGCCAGAATTGGGACTGAAAAAATAATTGGCGGCCCAGTTGGGAATGTGGAAGTCTAAGGAAAAGGACGCAGGGAGCCCGATGCAGGAATTGAAAGGTGGGGCGGGGAATTGGGGAGACCGAGGAGGTGATTGGAGAATCTCAGATGGAATTGGGGTCTGAGCCGACATTGAAGGTTGGGTGCTAAGAGAGGAACGGGAGTGGAATTTGTGGCCAGGACAGGACTGGGGTTGGAGTGTGAAGAGGAGCTGGAGGCTGGAGGGTTGTTGCATAAAGAAAGGTTCGAGAGGCTGGAACTGTGGGAGCAGCGGGGGGAGCGCGGAGGGGACGGGGTTCCGGAGGCTGTAAGGGAGTGGGATTTGGGGAGGGATGTGGAGTCCGGAGCAGCGGGAGGACGAAGATCGGCAAGTGGAAAGGAGAGGGCCAGGAAGTGGGTGTGGAGACGTGGGCTTGGATGTGGGGCTGGGCAGGGACCTGTGAACAAAAGTTCTTGAATGGCTGAGGTTTATCGGGGTGCCCCCTTTTGAAGGGAAAAGGGGGAGATCGTAGGAATAGGAGTGGGTGAGGGATGGAGAGCCTGCAGGGGGTAGAGAGTATTTGGAATTGTTTTGAGGAGGATTGTCTGAAGAACTGATGGAAGGTGGAAAGTGCGGCGAGGTTGGAGGAGCCTGCGGGTCTGGGAGAGGTGAGAGCAGGAGAAAGGAGCTGGAGTGGAAGGCAGGCGGGCAGGGAGCCTGGTTAGGAAAAGGAAAGTCTGGCTAGGAGGGCGCATGTGCTGGAGAGACCGGGAAAGGCGTCTGAAGTGCAGTCTGGGCTGTAAGTGTGTCTGCTGTGAAGGTTGAAAAGTAGGAAGAGGTGTGTGTGTATGTGTG